CACATAATAAATAAATCTTTAAAAAAAAAAAAAAAAAAAACTTGTTGAAGGCTCTAGAGCTGGTTTGTATATATATAGGCTACTGAATTTTTAAGATTTACTTAATTTATGTAGATGAGTGCTCTATCTGCATGTGCACTTGCCTGCCTTTTTCTTTTTTCTTTTTTTTTTTTTAAGTTAATTTTGTATCCAGCCACTTTGCTGAAGGTGTTTATCAGCTGTAGGAGTTCCCTGGTAGAATTTTTGGAGTTGCCTATGTATACTAATATATCTGCCAATAGCGATACTTTGATTCTTCCTTTCCAATTTGTATCCCCTTGATCTCCTTTAGCTGTCTTATTGCTCTAGCTAGAACTTCAAGTACTATATTGAAGATACACAGAAAGCGGGCAGCCTTGCCTTGTGCCTGATTTCAGTGGGATTGCTTTAAGTTTCTCTCCATTTAATTTGATATTGGTTATCATCTTGCTGTGTACTATCTTTATTGTTTTTAGGTATGTGCCTTGTATCCATGATCTCTCCAAGATTTTTATCATGAAGGGGTGTTGGATTTTGACAAAGGCTTTTTGAGCATCTAATAAGATGATCATGTGGGTTTTTTCTTTCCGTTTGTTATATGGTGGATTACATTGATGAATTTTTGTATGTTGAACCATCCCTGCATCTGTAGGAGGAAGCCTACTTGATTATGGTGGACGATGTTTTTGAAGTTTTCTTGGATTCAGTGTGTATTTTATTGAACATTTTTGCATCTATTTTAAGAAAGAAAATTGGTCTGAAATTTTCTTTGTTGAGTCTGTGTGGTTTAGTTATCAGGGTGACTGTGGCCTCATAAAATGAATTTGGCAATGTTTCTTCTGTTTCTTTTTTGTGGAATAATTTGAGGAGTATTGGCCATGCTAATTAGGGCAGCCAAAGGTTTGTTTGTTTGTTTGTTTAATTTTTTATTACTAGACTTCAATGCTTTGATAGCTGAACCTTGGTGGTCCGCCTGAGGATGAGGAAGTGGCCAGATTTGGTGGCTAGCTTTAGGAATGTAATCTAATGGCTTTACCATGGCAAAAGGAATGAAGGAGAAAGGCAAGCCTGCTAGAGCCATGTTTGCCATGCTGGAGCTGGCTAGAGTCCATGCTGCCTCCTGCCTGAGGCTGGTCTTATATTCCTTTCAGGCATTTTTTGGTTTGTTTATTGGAGATGAGGTTTCTGTGTAGCCTTGGCTGTCCTGGAACTCACTCTGTAGACCAGGCTGTCCTCGAACTCAGAGATCCAACTGCCTCTGCCTCCTGAGTGCTGAGGGAATTAAAGTGTCCACCACCATGCACCTGGCTTCCTTTTGGATTTTAATCTCCCCTCTTCTAATGGCTTATTTTATTGCTTAAGTGAGTGTAGATAAATATTTACTATGAAGGGGAAAACAAACAACACAAGCATCTTCAGGGGCTGAAGAGATGGCTCAGAGGTTAAGAGCATTTATTGCCTGACAGGGGACCTGAGTTCAGGTCTAGCACCCACATAGTGGCTCACAACACTCTGTAACTCCAGTCTCAGGGGATCCGACACCTTCTTTAAACTTCTGTGTGTATTAGGCAGGCACCAGGTACACAGGTATGTACACCAGGTATGCATACATGCATGCACAATACTCACACACACAAAATAAATCTTTTGAGCTGGGTATGCTAGTACTCATAATTAATCCTAGCACTCAAGAGACAGAGGCAGACATGGATCCCTGAGTTTGAGGCCAGCCTGGTCTACGAAGCAAATTCCAGGACTTCGAGGGCTACACAGAGAGATCCTGTCTCAAAAAACAAAACAAAACAAAATTTTTTGTTTGGTTGGGTTTTGTTTTGGTTTGGTTTTTGTTTTTTGGTGTTTTTTTTTTTTTTGTTTGTTTGTTTTTTGAGACAGGGTCTCACTCTGTAACCCTGAGAAGCCTGGAACTCTCTATGCAGACCAGGCTGGCCTTGAACTCACACAGATCCTCCTGAGCACTAAATTTATATATATATATATATATATATATATATATATATATATATATATATAAATGCACATGCTACCTTTATCACCATGCTAGTTTCCTCTAACATGACCACATTTTGATCCCTTTAGACTATTTTCTCTATTTTTTTTTTTGTCATGCCGTCTTTCCTCTGAAGACTTAACCTGTCTCCCTAAACTCCACTATAGATTCTCTTAAATGAAAACAAAACAACAGAGCCCCTCTATCATTCGGTGTGGTGGAATGAAATGTTCCCCATAGCCTTGGGCATTGAATACTTTCTTCCCTGCTGGTGGGACCGTGTGGATAGTTTAGAAGGTCTGGCCTTGTTGGAGGACAGATGTCACTCTAGGTGGGCTTTGAGGTTTCAAAAGCCACCTGACATTTCTCAGTTCACTCTCTCTGCTCCCTGCTGCCCCAGGAGCTTTCCATGCCATAAGGGACTCACTCTCTAGAACCATAAGGCCAAATAAACCCTTTCTTTTATAATTTCCCTTGGTCATGGTGTTTTACCACTTGTAAAAGAGTGAGTAATATAGGTAGGGAAAAAATAAATTCAATCCTGACAACATAAAAGACTCAAAAAGCACATTTAAGACACAGTGAAAAGCCCCCATCTTTGTTTTCCATTTGTCTAGAAGGCCCCAGTAACCAATATTTTTGGTTTCAGTTTTTTCTAGAGTTTCACTGTAGATAGAAACACTGGTACTTGGTTTTGACACACAGACTGTTACAATCAAAAGTTCTGATCCCCACATAGAGCTGACTCTTACCACTGCTTCCCAGCAGTCTCCACCTGGCACCATAACCAACATGCTCAAAAGGGAACTCATCTTTAACCTACCGGCTCCAATGCTACATTGTTACCATCTAGGGAGCTTTGTCAGCTTCCTTTTCTCTACAGTTGAAGAATTAGAAGGCAGGGGGAAAAATCTCTAGCCCAACAAGCAGCATTGGGGTAGATCCCAGACACTACAGACAGAATCAACTGGTAAATAAAGGCTTTTGTTAGGGGCAAGGAAACACGTGACACAGTCTCACACAAAGACCCTCTCTGCAAAGCAAAGGGATGACTCAAGAAGTGGAATTCTGGGTCTCTCCTTGAAGGTTGGGTTTTAAATGGTTAAACCCTTAACTTTTCAGGCTAAGGCGTAGTAATAGCTTTTTTTTTAAATTGCTAGATGTTCATGCTTCATATCCATTGATCATGTTTTCTCCAATTAAACTGCATGGGTTTGCTATCAGTTCCTCTCTGGGACTCTGCCTAGAGGAGTGAATGAGAGACTAAACATGAACAGCCCTGAAAACATCATGTTCTACCAACATCAATTGACACTTGGGTTCCTGATTTTCTTGGGAACCACGAGGGCCATCAAATTCTCAGAACTATGGTTCTAGAATCCCTTTGTCATGGACTTGTTTTCAGAGCTACATTTCTCAGAGGCTGGTTTAAGGATGAATCCTGTTTAGGAGATTCGATGGCCCAGGCATCTGGAAGCCTCCTGGAGACAGAAGGTGTGCCCCCGAGAAGATCCAGAAACAAGTCTGACTTTACTCTGAGATGGCTTCTGTTGCCCTGCGCCTTCTGTCCCCCTTCCACATCCTTCTCTAGCCACGTTCAGCTTGATTTATTATATGTGTTTTTCCTGCTTATATGTCTGGAGGGCACTGGAACCTCGGGAACTGATCTTACAGATAGTTGTGAGCCTAGTAGATACTGGGAACCAAATCTGGGCCCTCTGGAAGAGCAACAAATATTCTTAACCACTGAGCTATCTCTCCAGCCCCTAATCAGAGTTTAAAAGAGGGAAAGTTAATGGACTTTCTGCCGTATTTCTTAAACATTAATTGACTGTCAGCATCTTCCAGCACTAACAAACTAAAGGATGGAAGATGAGGAATTATGTGGGGCTTTACAATGAGTCTCTATTCTAGCACCCATGCATGTTCATTTATGTGGGCTTTGTAGCAAAGCCAGAGTTTCCATAGGAAAATAATCTGTAAACCAGGCTGGCCTCAAACTCAGTTATCCACCAGCCTCTGCTTCCTGAGCCCTGGGATTAAAGATTTGTAACCACCACTGCCCAGATGACAATCTTGATTTCTAACACCCATGCGTGATGACTTCCAGTTGAAAACCTGAGCTGGAGTCACAAAAGAACTCAAAAGACAGGTTGATGAATGCTCATAGTGTTGCAGCTATTTGTGACAAAGCTGCAGCAATCTATGCATTCAGCGCCCATTTTGTTTATAAGGTGAAATTAAGTCTATATAAATTCTAGGACAGCCAGAGCAGCATAATAGAGATTATGTCTCAAAAAGTGAGGACTAGAATTTTTCTTTTTTCTTCTTCTTTTTTTTTTTTTTTTTTTAAGAAAAATGTGAAGCCTGAATCCCCTACCCTGGGCCAACTGAATGAGTCTTAAGTGCAGCCTTCGCACTAGAATTTTGTTGTCAGTTGTTGCGACTGAATCACCTCCAAATTCATAAACTGAGAACTCGTTCCCCGAAATGTGTTATTAGGAATGAGGGTACAGAAGATTCAAGCATAGACTACTCTAGAACAGGACTGTATAAAAACCTTTTTCTGTTTTCTGCCATGTAAAAAACATAAAAGTGGACCCTCTCTAGACTGTGACCTCCAAAACTGTGAGAAATGAAACTGTTGCTTAAACCGTACCAGGTCTACTTGTCACTGCAACATCGACCAAGAAACCATGTCCGACCAGGTTAAATACTAGTATCCCATAGAAGCTGACCTCTAGAGTTGTAACTCCTAGAAAAATCCATTTTAAAGTTGGAAGAGGAGATATTGATTTTTTGAGATAAGGATTCACTGTGCTGTCCAGTCTACTTGAGAATCCTGGGCTGTGACCCTCCCACATCAGCCTAAAAGACTGGAAACACGGGTACACACCAATGAGCTTGCTACCAAATTTTAAGTCACAGGCAACTGAATTTGATTGTATTTTTAAATTATTTTTATTTAATGACCAGTTACCTGAATAACATAAGTGCATTAGAATAGGAACAAAAAAAATTCCTAGTTACTGAGGCACAAATTTCTTCTACTAGCAAAACATGCAAAAACCACACACATTGTAGATCCAAGACAAAATGTGGATAATATAGTGCAACTATTTATGAATATATTTAAAGTATACAAAACAGAGAATAAAACTCCAAACTACCTTTCAAATCATCTCTGAATCTTTTGCTTCACCTCATTTATAGAAGAAACTTAAAATAGCATGTCACAATGTTGTTTTAGTAGCATACTTAGATTAGGTCAGCCCAATGGGCTCTTGGCCCCTCGTGTGATAAGGAGAATTTAAAATATTTTAAGAGGTTCCTACCCAGCTCTGATTCGTCATTATAAAACCAAAGTGGATAGAGCAGCTAGTTATGATGTTCCTATAGCAGCCACGCCAGGGTGAAGTCTCTGGTGTTTGGTGAGAGCAGAGCGATACCGGAAGGCTTTCCCACAGTTATCACACCCAAAAAGCTCCCCTGAATGAATCTTCTGATGCTGAGTAAGGTATGTGCTCTGGCTGAAAGCCTTTGGGCACTCATTACAGTTGTAAGGTTTCTCTCCAGTGTGAGTAACCTGATGTTCACTTAGGTGCATCCTCCGGGTAAAGGATTTGTCACACTCATTACATTTATAGGGCTTCTCTCCCGTATGAGTTCGCTGATGCTGAGTCAGATGGGAGCTCTGGCTGAAGGCTTTTTCACATTTGTTACACTGGTAGGGCTTTTCTTCTGTGTGAGTTTTTTGATGTTGGGTAAGAGATGAACAGTGTCGAAAGGTCTTACCACACTTGGGACATGCATACGGCTTTGCTCCTGTATGAATTCTCTTGTGTTGTATAAGGTGTATTTTCTGGTTGAAGGCTCTCCCACATTCATTACACTTATAAGGTCTTTCCCCAGTATGGATTTTCTTATGCTGAATAAGGGATGAGCCATAGCTGAAGGTTTTCCCACATTCATGACATTGATAAGGCTTCTCTCCTGTATGAATTCTTTCATGCTTAGCAAGAGATGAACTTCGAATAAAGGCTTTCCCACATTCCTTACATTCATAGGCTTTCTCCTGGCTATGAGTTTTCTGATGCTGATTAAGGTTTGACAGATAACTGAAAGCCTTTCCACATTCACTGCACTCAAAGGGTTTTTCTCGAGTGTGAATTCTTCGATGCTGAGTAAGGGATGAGCAGTAACTGAAGGCTTTTCCACAATCGCTGCATTTGTAGGGCTTTTCTCCTGTATGAATTTTCAGATGTTGAGCAAGGGATGACCAGTAACTAAAGGATTTTCCACATTCTGCACAGTCATAGGGTTTCTCCCCAGTGTGTGTTTTTTGATGTTGAGTCAGGTTTGAGTGCTGACTGAAGGCTTTTCCACACTCACTGCATTCATAAGGCTTTTCTCCAGTATGAATCATATGGTGACGGATAAACGTTGAAGGGCCATTGAAGGCCTTTCCACATTCATTACACTTGTAAGTTTTCTCTCCGGTATGAATTTTTTGATGTTGAGTAAGATGTGTGCTTCTGGTGAAGGTTTTTTCACATTCTTCACATTTGAAAGGCTTCTCACCTGTATGAATCTTCTGGTGTTCCATAAAGTGGCCTCTCTGGCTGAAGGATTTTCCACACTCATTACAAGTGTATGGTTTCTCACCAGTGTGAATTCTCTGATGCTGAACAAGATGGGTCCTCTGACTAAAGGCTTTCCCACATTCATCACATTTGTAGGGTTTTTCTCCAGTATGAATTCTTTGATGTTGAGTGAGAGATGGACCCTCAATGAAACCCTTTCCACACTGGTCACATTTGTACGGTTTCTCTCCTGTGTGGATTCTCTGATGGTTTATAAGGTTTTCGCTTCGGCTGAAAGCTTTGTTGCATTCATCACATTTATAGGGTTTTTCTCCAGTGTGTGTCCTTTGATGGCGAATGAGAGCAGAACAGTAAGTAAAAGCTTTACCACATTCATTGCACTTACACAGCTTCTCTTTTTTAACTGAGGGTGAATTCTGCTTGGCTCTTGTTTTCGTAGTAGTTTGCTCCAGAGCTACTTCTGTTTGTGTTGCAAGGCTTGAACACACAGTGAAACTGCTCTCACAAGTGGGTGCCGTTTTCTCAGTTATTTTTATTGCCCTTGGCAGCATCTGTTGGTTTGCCTGAAGCTTCTCTGAACTCCCATCAGATTTCCATGTTTCTAAGACATTGGAGCTGCAAGAATTTTCCCTTTTGTGGTTGTTTAATACTGCCTCTAAGAAGAGATGCTCTTCAGAAATGTCATGTTCTAGGGGTGACACACCATTTTCAGGTCTTGTCCTCCAGCCTGAAAGAAAATAAAATGCCAGTGTTTTTTGGACAGAGCAAAAGAAAACTGCCCTTGTTGGAAACTATCTAACAGTTTGAAGGTTCTCAAATATATAACCCTAATATTTGGGGAAAAAAATGAAAGGAGCTAAGGAGAATACACTGAAACTCTAAAGAGAAGTGCTTATTTCTGTTTAATCTGCTTATTCTGTTAATCTTACTTGTCTAAGGACAAGTAAGAATGATATTTAAAAAGATAGTTAAACTTAAGAGGTAAGCTGTGTGGTATAGCACACCTTTATTCCCAGCACCTGAAAGACTGGTGCAGTACCACAACGGCAGCCCCCACGCTACTGCAAGGGACACTCAGCAGTCTCTGTGCCAGCCTGATCCCATTGCTACAAGGTTGGCTGCAGGCACTGAAGACCTTTGCGTGTGACAAACCCCACGTAATGTGAGCACCTCTAGCCAGATGAAATCCCAGGAAAGACTATGCTGATCACGCCGTCTACAAAAAATTCTTAGCCAAGATGCTAAGCTCAGGAAGTACAAGGACACAGACAATGTCCCCATCAATGCAGCAATGTGGAGCACAGCACTACTGCTTCCCACCATGCCCACACAGGCTGCCCCAGCCATGCAGATTACTTTTAAGAACATGGATCATAGGCACTGCCACGCTGGATGCCTGTACCCTGGTGGTGGCTGATGATGGCTCCATGTTCCAGACACAAGAGCACATGGCTAAAGAGATGGGAGTCAAGCTTGCTGTGGTGTATGTGAACAAGGCAGACACTGTCCAGGACTCACATATGGTGGAAGCTAGCAGAGCTGGAGATCCAGAAGCTGCTCAACTAGTCTGACTATGAAGGAGAAGACACTCCAGTCATTATGGGCTCTGTTCCCTGTGCCCTTGAGCAATGTGATTCTGATTTAGGTATAAAGTCAGTGCAGAAGCTGCTGGATGCTGGGGACACTTACATCCCAGTGCTCAGCTGGGACAGGAGAGGAGCTTTCCGCTGTCTGTAGTCAGTTCACTCTATTCCTGGCTGGGACACAGTGGTGACAGATAAACATAGGACACAGTATTTTGAAGAAGGTTGATGAGTGTGAGTGGCTGGGATATAATAAGAACATGAGCACTGCGGTGACAGGCATTGAGACATCCCACAAGAGACTGGAGAAGATTGAGGCAGGGGAAAACCTGGATGCTCTCTGGTGCAAGGTTTGAAGAGGGAAGCTCCGAAGCACTGTTTGGTCATGGTTAAGCCAGGCTCTATCCAACCCCACCAAAGGGTGGAGGCCCGGGTCTATATCCTCAACAAAAAGGAGGGTGTCTCATTTTATGTCTGCCATGTTCTCCCTGACTTGGGACATGGCCTATCATGTCATCTTGCCTCCAGTGATGGAACCTGCAATCCTGGAGAGGACCTGAAGCTCAGCCTAAGCTTGTGGCAGCCCATGTTCTTAGAGAAGGCCCAGCACTTCACCTAGCAGGATGGCAACAAGGCCACAGGCACTGTCCTTGTCACTGAAACACCTGCCACGGCAAAGAAGAGCAAGAACCTCAAATGGGGATGAGCTGAACGTCTCAGGTTCTCGAGCTTACAGCTCCCCTGGTTAGCGTTCCCTCCTGTGGACACAACTGCATCCACCATATACAACAATGGACACTTCTGCTCAAAGAAACGGCCTGCCAGGTGAGGATGGCAAATAAACCAGGGGGGGGGGGAAGGTAACCAGAGACTACTTAGGGAACCAAGAAAAGGACTGACTCCTAAGGATGCAGTATGAATTAAAATTCCTTGTTCATGAACAAAAAAGCGAAAATTTAAGACTGTTGATTTAAGTTCAGGACAAAGACTCAACTAAGACTTATGATTATTAGCCTGGAACCCTACAATAAGAATTCCATCTTTGGGGGCTGGAGAGATGGCTCAGTGGTTAAGAGCTTTGTCTGTTCTTCCAGAGGTCCTCAGTTCCATTCCCAGCAACCAAAAGGTAGCTGGAATCTGATATCCTCTTCCAGCATGCAGGTGTACAAGTAGATAGAACACTCATACACATAAAATAAATAAATTGATTAAAAAAAAGAATTTCATCTTTGCTAAAAAAAAAAAAAAAGTTGTAAATAGGAGAAGAGATAATTTATGGTAGAAAAGGTAATGAATTCAAGACTATCATCATGGAATTTAGAAAAGAAATGGAGGACTAAACTATAGGTGTAGGTGTGGAAGATGCCAAAGCAGTATTATAACAGAATGTTTATATGTAAGATACAAAATACCTACTACTACTACAAAATGGGCACTGGCTAACATATTCTTATACCCAATATGTGGAGAAGTAATCGAAAGTGTTGCTAACTAGACTGCAAAAAAAAAAAAAAAAAAAATTCAGGCAAATTAGTGACACAAAACACACATCAGGATTACAGATCACATCTCTGAAAAGATGGGTCTCTAAGACATCCTCAAGAAGGAAGCAACTGGGGGCTGGAAAGGTGGCTCAGTTAAGAGCACTTATTGTTCTTGCAAGGGACCTGGGTTTGGTTCCAGCACTCACATAGTGGCTCAAAATCACCTGAAACTCTAGGTCCAGGAAATTTGAAAACCTCTTCTGACTTCTGTGGGCACCAGGTATTCATATGGTAAAGAAACATACATGTAGACCAAATAGTCTTCTCTCTCTCTCTCTCTCTCTCTCTCACACACACACACACACAAATAAATAAATATTTTTTAAAGTCCAGTAGAAAGTAGTATTAATAGATAAGACCAAGCAGACTTGTAGAGGAATTTTAATTCGGAACATGACTTCTCTGGCAAGAGATCACATTCAAAGACCTTCTAGGCCTGTGTGATTCAGCTGGAATACAAACATGCCTTTAACCCAAGAGACAGAGGCAAGAAGATCTGTGTTCAAGGCCAGCCTGGTATAGAGTAAGTCTCAGATAAAGAAAAGCTATGTCCAGGCATGATGATACATGCCTTTAATACCAAACAATGGAGGTAAAGTTACTTTGTAGAAGGAACTACCCATATTTGTAAGTGATGTTTAATTGAGTGGTAGAAAAAGTGACAAATTAGAGAAAGATTTGACTAACAGGATATGCCCACCCCCATGAGAGAGGAGAGGGAAGTTACTTAAGGGAGCACCTCCGAGACTGAGAGAGAAGAGGCAGTATCAGGAGAGTTTAACAGAGAGAGAGAGAGAGAATGAATAAGAGCGCAAATCAGATACAGGTGAAGGCAGAATGAGCTTATTAAGCAGTAAGTCTCAGGCGCTCAAAACATTCTAGGCCTAGGTTAGCAGACAGAGGCAGTAAGCCTCCAAGACAACAAATGAAACAGGCAAATAAAAGTTATTTTTATACAGAGTAATAAATTTCAGAGATGATGAAGGTCAAGGTTGAGACAATGATACATTCAGACAGAGATAAAGAAAAATTAATGAGACTAACCAAATCTTCCAAGAACTCTGGGAGAAGTTCAAGAGACAAAAATCTAAGAAATCTGGAGAAGAAGAAACTGAGATGAAGTCTAAAGGTACAATTTAATGAAACTAAGGCAAAAAATTACCCAAACCTACAGGAAAAAAAAAAAAAAAAAAGACATCCACACACAACCATATGGTATTAAAAAAAAAAAAAAAAAAAAAAAAAAAAGTCAAGATGTTAAAATTACAAAAAAAAAAAAACATTAAAAACTGTAAGTACACGGGAAAAAATAACAACCCACATATAACAGAGAAGTATCAGAATAACATCTCTCATCAACAACCCTAAAAGCCAAAAAAGCAAGGCTTGATACTGCAAACCCTGAAAATAAGTTACCCATGAAGATTGTTACCCTGGAGCTAGAGAGGTGGGTTAGTTTAATTAAAGCATTGTTGCTATTGAAGAAATCAAGGAGGAAATAAAAAACTTTCTAGAATCAAAAGAAAATGATAGCACAATTTACTAGAACCTCTTGGCTAGAGCTAATGCAATTCCAAGGTTATAGCTGCAAGTGCATACATTAACCACTGTCTGCTGGAAAAAAAAAAAAAAAGAAGCAGAGGGACGGGTGTCACATATACATACATGCATGCAATGTTCACACCTCATAATTTAAAAAGAAAAAAGGCAAATAAATAATCTAATGATATACCTCAATGTGCATAGATTTTTTTTTATTATTTAAAAAAAGTATATGTGTGGGCGTATGTACATGAGTGCTCGTGCTCGAAGAGGCTAAGGGTGTCAGAGTCCTTGGATCTGGAATTACGATGGTTGTGGGCCATGAACTTGGGTACTCTGGAAAGCATCAAACTCTCTTAACCCATATGCTATCTCTCCTGCCCCAACTGCAAGGTTCTAGAACAACAACAACAAAAAGAAAAAAGCAGAGTGATGCCAAACCCATTTTACAAAGCTAGTATTACTCTGGTATCATAATCAAATAAGGACACAAAATAAAAGTATAGAGTAAACTCCTTGATAAATATATGTATAAAAACTTGCAACAAAATACTTTCAAGCCAAATTCAAGAAAACATTAAGAGCATACATAGCAACCATGACTTTTACATTGGGGATGCAAGGCTGATTCAATATGTACATGAATGAAATAAGACATATAACAAAACTGAGGACAAAAAAAGAATATGGTCATCTCAATACATGCAGAAAAGGTATTTGACAAAGTTTGACATCTCTTTACCATGACAGTCCTGAAGAAACTAGAACAGAAGGAACAAAAAGTCCTGCAAATGTCATGATTTAATTTTCTTTATGGCTGAATAAAATTCCATTGTGTAGATGTACCACATTTTCTTCATCTAGTCCTGTGTTCATAGGCACCTAGGCTTTTGTGAATAAACAATAAACAGAGTGACTAGATTATCCCAGACTCAGGCCCTTTAAGAAATTCCTTGTGCAGTTTGGAAACTGATGATTTAAAAAAAAAAAAAAAATTACTCAGAACCTCAAGGACAGAATGATAAAGGAACAAAATATATAAAAAAAAAAAAAACTATGCATGAGAATAAGAAGAGAGTAAGTGCATTAAAACAAATAACAAACAAAACAAAACAAAGGCTACAGGTGTGGAACTCACTTTCTTTTTATTTTAGTTGGGATCACAGAAATGAGACTTAGCCAGTGTTGAGTGAAAGCATCTGGAAATAGCTGTGTTTCTGGGTGATGCTAACAGAGATGGAACCCTAAAACAGAAAATGAAGGAACAATCCTGGAAGTGGGAAGACAGAGAATGCAAAGTGCAGGTTTAGAGGTCTGCTTCAGAGAAATCAAGAGGGCTGCGTCCTCTACAGAGAGTACAAAATAGCATCTATATTCTGAAGGTTCTCATCTCTCCACAGGGGGTGCCAGCAGGGAAAAGCAGTGCTCTGTTGTCACACACTTCTTACCTTCCAAGGAACCAACAGGAATGGATGACTCCTCACTCCATGGCTCTGTCCCTTGCTCTAGTTGGGAAATCATATCAGGTTTGGAAACCTGGAGTCCTGCTCAGAGGGGGAAAAAAAGGAATCTGTCTGCAATAAGGAAAAAGCACCATATCAGAATGCAATCTCACCACTCTGTCTCTAAGATATTCCCCATGGAAAAAAATCTGGTGTGATGAATTAGCATGTCAACTGTCGTAACAATGGGGCAACTGAGAAGCTGATCTAAGGAGAAGAGGATTAGTTTACTGCTCCACTTAAGAACGAGGAGAAACTTCCAAAACTTAAAATTGCTGGTTCGTAAGCTTAGATGCCAATCACATCTAAATGCAAGAGATAATGTGCCTCCCCCCGCCCATCTAGACTTGGGGCTACCCTCACCTACAGAGACGAGACACCATATAAACTGTGGGTTACCCTTACCTACAGAGACCAGATGGGTACCCTTTCCCACACCCTGATCTTAACCTCACACTCACCTATAGAGACTAGGTGTGTATAATTTTCCAGTGTCACATCTCTAAACAAATTTCTCTGTGTAGGATCCAGGTGTTTCCATTCTTCCTGAGTGAAGTTCACGACCACATCCTTGAAGGTCACTGATTCCTAAGACATCAAGTGTTCTATGACTTAGTCTTAGGAAATAGATAAAATTAATAATATCTACAGAAGCAAGGCAGGTGATAAACTAAAAGCAATACTAATATGTCACTAGTATGTCCACCTTTCGAGAAAAATTTGAATTAGGACCTTACCCATAGGATTGGTATTAAGAACAGAATAAATATTCCATGTGGAGGATGGTAATATGGCTCAATGGCAGAACATGGGCAAGGCCCTAGGTTCAATCCTCAGCAAAAACCAAAAAACAAACCAAACACAAAAAACTTTTCTTCCTCTGTGACGTGCTTAATTTAGGAATCTAAGTGTTCAGTCATTACTGGCTAATGCTGTCCTTATTCCTTTCCTGATCCCTGAGTTCTAAGATACGGCAAGCACTGATATTATACCTGCTGTCATCAATAACATTTTTACTGTCAATAATGCGCAGGAATACCCAACAACTTTGGCAGACTTGCCCTATCCCATTTCTTTTGGGGGGTGGGGGAGCTGAAGTGAGGCAGGGTTTCTCTGTGGAGCCCTGGCTGGCCTGGAACTCGCTCTGTAGACCAGGCTGACCTCAAACTCAGAGATCCACTTGCCTTTGCCTGCCAAGTGCTCAGATTAAACCCATATGCCACCATCACCCAACTGCCCTATTCCATTTCAAATTAAAAGTTTCCGAAACAGTGCAATGTTACAGAATAAAACTCAGTAAGAATAAAACAGCTTAAGATAGGACCATGCATTTAAGAGTTGGATAGAATTAAGGAGTTTCCAAATTAATTAAGATACAATGGATATACCATACATTTAACTACTGGCCAAAAGGTAAATAGAAATCTTTATACCTTTACAACATACCCAAATACTCCTGTTGGCTTAAAGATTACATTGTGGGGTTGTTTGTTTGAAAGACAGTCTTGTTAAATAATCCTGGCTGGCCTTTGTCTCCCAAGTGCTAAGAGAAAAGGCCTACACCACTACTCCCAGCTTCATTTTGGATTTTGGCCTTTAAGGTTTTGAGCAAACTAAGCTTATTATAATTAACTACAGTAACAATAGGAAACCAACACACACATATATATATATATATGTTATACATATATGTATCATATGTAGTCAACCAATATGGGTAAATTTATATTCCTTCACAGTGCTCTCTGATCATTTGTAAGATGGATCACATTCTAAGCAAAAGAAAAGTCAAAATGAATCTTAATAAATTTAAAAGGATTCAAGTCACAAGAAGTATGTTCTCTGACTATGGATATGTTCACTCACTACCTGGAACATGATAGTGGTTTTATGAACCTCTACATACATTAAACTCTCATTTAAACTCACTGGGTAACTCTCATTATCCAATGAGAGTTGACCTTCTGCATCATTGGATTCAATCAACTGTAGATACATTATATTCAAAGAACATGCACAGATACTATTCTTGTCCCTATTCCCTAGACAAAATGGTAGAGCTACTGTATAGAATTCATATTGCATTTACACAGTATTTACAATGTATTGGATATATAAGTATATATAAGCTATATAAGATGATTCAGAGGATGTGGATAGGTTATATGCAAACATTGTGCCATCTTATGTTAAAGGACTTGAGAATCTACTGGTTTTGGTATCTGTTAGAGGTCCTAAAACCAACTCTTCAAAGATACAAAGGAATGACAATATACCTTAAATGCATGCAGTTTATTATTACAATATTCTGTAATAAAAAATAAAGTAATGCTAAAAGGACTTAAGCTGAAATTGGGAAGAACTTGTGTGGGTGGGCTGAAGGGAGGTCTTGAGATTAAGGCTCATGAAAAAACTTTTCCTACATTAAATCTATTATGATCCACAGATGACCTGCACTATAAGCCTTCACACTTCTCATGTGCTATTTAGTTCTTTCATATTGTGACCTCATTCAATTTTATTTTTTTAATTTTCCAAAACGAGCCATTTCTTCCAAATCTTTTGGAAATTATGACTGTTACTAGTGCTCACCTGCCCAACTCTGGTTAGAGCCCTCTCCATGTCAAAACTCCGCTCCTCACACTTCTCTTCCTCCAATATTCATTCAAATGTCACTTGTCCTATGGATGAGTACAATTCCACATTGTCCATGCAACTCTGTCCCTTGCAAACCACATACATCTCTCCATTCCCTAATAACCAAAGCACTCATTTCTTTTTTTGTAAATTTGCCTATTTTATTTTTACTAGCCACTTCACTCTACTCAAGTAAAGAATTAGATGTTGTGCTTCTTTTTCCCCCACCGCAGGAGCGTTAGAAGATAGTAGATAAGAGGTAAATACTGACTATGCCGCTGAAGCTGGAGAGGCCGAGCGGGATCCAGTGAGACCACAGGACAGACGAGAGTACAGAAAGACCCACCAGCAATGACCTGGGGGTAAACGCACCTCGCGATAAAAGACGCATTATTCTCAGAAGGAGCATTTAGGAGAATCCCAACTTACCCGAAAACTAGCTGATGGGAGTAGGGGATGTCCTTCGTGGAGACTGGCACAGTCTGCAATGGACAGGCCTACGAAGGAAGAGGTCACGGTGAATCTATCAGATCTGCTGCTGCCAGCAATCCAGAAAAACTTCTTTTCTTCCTTGAAATAACAACTATATTTTCTCCTTTATTTGTCAGAATCTCCCAACTCCCCAAAAGACTCAACTGAGGCCTGAGTATGATCCTGAGTAGGCTCAGAAACAAACAAACAAACAAACAAACAAACAAACAAAAAACACCAAAAAAAAAATGCCTTAAGAGTCAGCTTTGTACTTAGACCTCTTGGAGAAAATACACATTAATAAAATAGTTGTGATTTCTAAACCAAAAAAAAAAGAAAAAAAATTCAGCTTTGTCTCTTGGTACTTCACTATTCACATGGTTCATAGAGATAAATCTGAGGCGCTCATTAAGTGAGGCAAGACATTCCTGCGGACATTTCTCTGCTACACATAAAATGTGAGTAAACAGCAGGGTATGACGGTGCATGTCTTTAGCACTAAGGAAGCAAAAATTGGTGGATTTCTGTGAGTTTAGTGACGTACACACATACCTAATGAAAGTAAAGACAAGCAAGCAAACACTCTTACACATAAAACAAAATCTAAAAAAATGCTCCCTAGGAAAAGCCTTCTTTAAGATGTCTAGCGATCTTCAATGGGCCTGCCAAAGGAAATGAGGCTTGGCCACTTGAAAGGGAACTTGGGAGGAGTTCTAACAGCTGAATTCACAGGTAAGGGCAACATTGTCAAAGCACTGACAGTTTCTAACGCTTTTAATATCTACACAGACGTTAAAGGAACAGGAACTTTTGGTAGAAAAAAAAACTAGTTTCCACCTAAAATGGCGAGTTTAAGGCCAGAGACACTTGCACTGGCATAAGCTTGAAAAATTGCTATCTGCAAGGTATTTCAAAATTAATTTTTGCTTTTAGGAGAGGCTTTTTTTTTTCATTTTATTACAAAGTATTATTCTAAAATGTAATAAAGGGAAATATCATGCGTATCGGACATTCCGAACTGCTGTTCCTTTTCAAATCAATTCTTTCTCTTTCGGTGATGTAATTAGTTTCCTTCAACCCTCACTACATTACCTCCTCCTCCCAGCTGGGTCCAGCCCCCACCAGCCTGCTCCGCCCTGGCCATCCCCATTACCTGCCATCGCCGGACACGTGGATCCCCGGGCAGCTTCAGTCCGGATGCCTCGCCCCGCTTCCAGGGTAGGGTGCCTGATGCCCTCCGAGACTGGCCTACCAGACCCACGAGGCGCGCTGACAGTCGCACCTCAGAGCCGTACGGAGCAGCCACGAGGTCCTGTCCGAGGGCGGGGAGCCCCGGGGAGCTCTGGGGAAAGCGAGCAAGCGGCTGCGCCTCGCAGCGGAGACTCCGGCTCCCACCTACCGTCTGGCCAGGCGCTGTCCACCGGGTGTGCGGCCTCCCGCCTCCGCAGGCGACCGCCAGACACACCTGTGGCCGGGCAGCCCGGCCCCTCAGCGGGCCCTGCCCAGAACAAAGGAACAAAGCCTCGGGGAACGGGCGGTCCCCGGCCACGCCGAGGGGAGGCGCGCCCCCTTCCCTGACTCCCCGGCTTCCTCTCGCGCAGGCCGCAGCTCGCGGGCCCGCGAGGTGACGTCACACTCCCAAGGCGCCGGGGGTTGCCATGGTGATACCTGGACTCCGGTCTAGTGACGCACGCCTTAGGAGCCTGGGTCCAGAAGCGTGGGACGGCCACCAGACCTCAAGCAGTCAGCCTACGTCGTGGGAACGGCCCAACACGCACCGTTTTCCACGCCCACCGTAGGCTTGGCGGTCACTTCCGGTCGGGCAGACCCTTCCTCTTCTTTCGGGGAGCGCAAGGGACCACAATTCCCAGAATGCCACGCGCGCCATTTCTGCATCCCTTTCCCCAGGTTTTCGCTCCTGTTGCGGCCTCCCCTGGTGTGTCGGGGAGTTTGTGTGTGGTGGCCTGATTTGTGAGTAGAGGTGGTCATATTAGTGTTTGTAACAGACTCACACACCCGCAGGGTTTTTGGGGGGACATGTTGGGGCAGGGTCTCATACTCCTCAGGCTGACCTCGAACTTTTTATATGTACACGTGGCTGGCCTAGAAATCCTGATCCACCTTCTCCACCTCCCAAGGGTCTGGACCTCCCACACTGGAGAATTTCAAAACGCAAGGGTATACATTTCACCATGCAGCCCTTCTTTTATTACCTGACCCGCATTCTTATTTACATGATCTTTATTGTTTTGAAGATATTCGTCGTTACCCATTGAATTGTTTTCATGTCTTTGGAGACGACCCACATTTTTTTAAAAAAAAGAAATCAGAAAGAGGTGGTGATACTGTATTTTACCTGTTAGCAGGGCTCTCTGGAGCTTTCTTTGCCTAGCACTTAAAGCGAATCTGTCGGTGTGTCCTTCAGTATACACAGAAGACTCCAACAAGTTTTTATACCTCAAAAGTGTGCCCCACGTAACATCTCCAGTTATTTGACAGAAGGGCTAGAGTGACTCCTCTCCTTGGCTGACAGTACCAGACCTGGAAACGGTAATGCTTCATATGGAAAAAGGGAATGCCTTTTAAAAAGGGAATGCCTTTTGGAGAAACGGTTGGAACAAAACATCAGATAAAAAGAATGCAAATAGCAAGCATATTTATTTAAAAAAAAAAAAAAAAGGTTTTTCTGTGTCTGTGCACTTAAGTGAAGGGCCATTATGTGGTGTCCAGAAAAGGATGCGGGACCCTGGAAGTGTAGTTACAGGAGATCGTGACCCACTGAACATGGCTACTAGAATTCTCTGAGACACCTCAAGCCCCAACAAGCATATTTGAAATGCGGCAACCACTGGAGTTATAATTAGAAGAAAATTAAACTGATGGTGAGGAACAGTATAAGATACTCTTTAGAAGTGTCTCTATGAGTTGAAGGAAAAATGAAATCGGGTAAAAGGAAAGATAGACACAAAGGACAGAAGACAGAAAGCCAACATGTGTGTAATCGTCAGGAAGGAGAGATCACGGATAAGCAGCTGTCAGCACTTCCTGTGTGCCAGCCAAGGTGCCAAGTGCCTTGCATCTAGTAAGTTTTTCTTTCTTTTTTCTTTCTTTCTTTTTTTCTTTTTTCTTTTTTTTTGGCAGGGTTTCCCTGTGTAGCCTTGGCTCTCCTGGACTCACTTTGTAAACTAGGCTGGCCTTGAACTCATAGAGATCTGCCTGCCTCTGCTTCCTTGAATGCTGGGATTGAAGACATGTGCCACCACACCAGGCTGTAAACTAATTCTTAGAAGAATTAAGTGGCAGTACTTTTCTCTAATTATTCCTCGTTTACCTCAGGCTATGTAACAATAGCCTGAGAAACTTGCTTGCGGTCACACAGACAGCAAACAGGACCACAATGCATTGCTGGTGTCCAAGAGGAGGAACTGGAAGAGGTTTGCCTTTTCAGTTCTGAAATTTATTTCTGAGACTTTAAATGGGGGAGACAACTTGTGTAGAATAAAATTCTTGGGTCATGAATTTTCACTAAAAACCCTTCATGTTTTTGTTGTTCCTCTGCTGTAACATAAGATAGAGAAAAAAACAAACAAACAACTGGCTGCTCATGGTCTGTAAGTTTTTGATTGTTGGACTTTTCCTCTCTTGTCATCTTAAGCATTTTTCAGCAACATAAATCTGGTTGTGAATTAAGTGTTTTAATATAAAGGGCAAGTTCTGTTCTGC